TATAAAATATGGGTGGTTTTGTTTTTTAGATTTCTCAGTCCCAAAGATCTAAGATAAATAAACAAGGACACTTAAGCTGGGCCAGGCTGCATTTTTGACACCTTTTAAATGAGCGACCTAATTGGGGTTTGCTTTTCAACCCAATAAGACATTTTTTAGTGGATGAGCCCAATCATATTAATATATATGACTCACACATTTGTACTCAATACCTTTTCCTTTTTATATAATAAAATTGTATAACAATTTTATATAATATATAAATTTATATAATAAAATTATATAAAAAGGGAATCAAGAAAATAATGAACCCTAGTTAACGCATGACTAGCTAGGGAGGGCCACATAGAAAGATTTAAGTTACTATCAATGCTGTAGTTTTGCAGTTGGGAAGTAATTGCATGGGTATTTTTTTTTTTTAATGAATAACATATCACAGAAGCAACAGGACTTGCATGTGGGTGGGCAGGAAGAGAGTTGATGATGACTCTCAGAGAGTTGAGAATCTATGTCATACAATCCACACCTTTGTATATCTATTAGGTTGGTGCAAAAGTAATTGCGGTTTTCGCTGTTACTTTCAGTGGCAAAGTACATCTAGCACTGTCTGATTTCAATAGGCATCTCCTTGGTACCAGTAACTTTAGGTTGTTTCCAAAAATTTGCTTGCAAAAAATAAATGCTGTACTCCATTGAGGACACCCAAAAAGGAAATAGCACATCGGCTCTTCAAGGCAATTTTAAAAGAAGCTCTAAAATATTTGCACAATACAATCTATGCTTAGTTTTCCAGATAATCATCATTCTAATTATTAGGAGGAGAAACACAGGTGGATACGGATATTGCTTTAAAAACTAGACTCATGACCTGGAATGGAGAAAGTCTCAAGGTAGAGCAGGAACGCTGCCTCCCCCTCAGCATTCTCACATCTGCTTAATGGCAATGCAAACTTGGGGCCAGTTCTTCTCAGGAAGAACTGGAATACAGCGCCCTCTAGTGCAACAAATCCTTTTGGTTTTTTTCCCCTGTGTCTTTAAGGTTTAGATGTCAAACGTTTGGCTTAAGTGTAAAAATATTACAGCCTGCCTGCCGCTGCCTGAACCGACTCTGCGCAGCCCGCTGCGATGGAGGCCGCCGCCCAGGTTTTCGTCCAGAGCCCGGACGTGGTCTACGGCCCGAGGCTATCCAGGCGCAAAACGAGTACCGGACGACGCGCGTCAGCCGCGAGGGCGGCGTCCTCAAGGTGCACCCACGACCACGCGCTTCATCTTCCGGACCGCCCGGCAGGTGCCTCGGCTCGGGGTCATGCTTGTCGGCTGGGGCGGGAACAATGGCTCCAACTCACCGCCGCGGTGCTGGCCAACCCACTGCGTCTGTCCTGGCCCAGGCGCAGCGGCCGCAAGGAGGCCAACTACTATGGCTCGCTGACTCAGGCGGGCACCGTGAGCCTGGGCTCGGATGCTGAGGGCCGGGAGGTGTTCGTGCCCTTCAGTGCGCTGCTGCCCATGGTGGCGCCCCACGACCTCGTGTTTGATGGCTGGGACATCTCGTCGCTGCACCTCGCCCAGGCAATGCAGCGCTCAAAGGTGCTGGATTGGGAGCTGCAGGAGCAACTGTGGCCGCACATGGAAGCCCTGCGGCCTCGGCCTTCCGTCTACATCCCCGAGCTCATCGCGGACAACCTCATCCCGGGCTCGCGCGCAGCACCTGGAGCAGATCCGCAAGGACATCCCAGACTTCCGGTCTAGCGCGGGGCTGGACAGAGTCATCGTGCTGTGGACGGCCAACACAGCGCTTCTGTGAGGTGGTTCCAGGCCTCAACTACACGGCCGAGAACCTGCTGCGCACCACTGAGCTTGGCCTGCAGGTGTCTCCCTCCACGCTCTTCGCCGTCGCCAGCATCCTGGAGGGCTGTGCTTTCCACAATGAGTCCCCGCAGAACACCCTGCTGCCCGGAGCTCTTGAGCTCGCGTGTCAGTGCCGGGTTTTCGTGGGCGGAGATGACTTCATGTCTGGCCAGACCAAAGTCAAGAAAGTCAGGTCCGTGCTCGTGGACTTCCTCAACAGCTCTGGCCTCAAGACCATGTCCATCGTGAGTTACAACAACCTGGGCAACAACGACGGGCACAAACTGTCGGCGCCGTTGCAGTTCCGCTCTAAGGAGGTGTCCAAGAACAACGTGGTGGACGACATGGTGCAGAGCAACCCACTGCTCTATACGCCCGGCGAGGAGCCCGACCGCTGCGTGGTCATGAAGTAGGTGCCCTACGTGGGCCACAGCAAGCGCGCGCTGGATGAGTATACCACGGAGCTACTGCTGGGCGGGACCAACACAGTGGTGCTGCACAATAGGTGCGAGGACTCGCTGCTGGTAGCAACCATCATGCTAGACCTGGCGCTGCTGACCGAGCTGTGCCAGAGTGTGAGCTTCTGCGCGGACGCTGACCCCGAGCCTCAGACCATCCACCCCGTGCTGTCCCTGCTCAGCTTCCTCTTCAAGGCACCGCTGGTACCGCCGGGCAGCCCGGTGATCAATGCGCTTTTTCACCAGCGCAGCTGCATCGAGAACATCCTCAGGGCCTGCGTGGGGCTCCCGCCACAGAACCACATGCTCCTGGAGCACAAGATGGAGCTCCCAGGGCCTGGCCTCAAGCAAGTCAGACTTGTGGCTGTTGCCAGCACTGTGTCCAACAAGAAAAGTCCGGTACCCGCTTACACCAACGGCTGCACCGTTGATGTCAATGGGCACCCACAAGTGGAGGAACCCCAGATGCCCACCACCTGAGGTCCCTGTCACACAGCTTCCCTGCCCTTCCTCCCCGCTGCCCCCCAGGACGCCACCTTTCCAGGCCCCCCCAAAGACAATAAAGCCGCTGCTACTCTCAAAAAAAAAAAAAAAATTACAAAGGTTTGAATGACAGAGGAGTAACGGTACGAAGAAACTTACTTTTCATTAGTAACCATGATGATAATATATACATTAAAAATTGTGGTATCAGGGATTCTGTCATGTAATGTGAATAAAATCAATATTTACTTTGAAAAATGTGTTGAATTACCTACAAGAGATAAATTTAACAGAAGAAAAAGGAGAGAAGTGGGCAACTTAAGAGGCCAGGCGACAAAGGGAAGAATCCTTGCATCCATTTGACATTTATCACACTCTGTGGCATATTACAGAAATCACACACCTGTTTCCTCTGTGCTATGTTATTCCTAATAATAAGTACCCATAGAAAATCGGCTTGCCTCCTGACTAACCTCTCCCATATTCTGTACAATACTAATGAGGCCAGCAAGGATCACAAGGAAGGAAAAACAAAAAATAGGAGCATCCTATTTTTGTGTTTCTTCAGTACAACCTACAATAAGACCTTTCCCCCACTCTCTCCATTTACCAAATTTTTGCCCACAAAATTATACAGATTTCTCCAGAATCCTCTAACAAATGCAAATGTTTCTAACATGAAAAAGTTTGCTTACAGACTCAAATATTCTTCAAAGACTAAAGTTTGAAATCCATCTAATGTCAACCTCCTTTATCTAGAATCCACTAGTTTTAAGTAAATAGCACTTTTAATATACTTCCAAAGTAAATAGAGACATTTTCATTAGATGAAACATTACAGTTACTCTATACGTTCTTATTTTGTATTTGGCCTGTTGTCGTCCCCTATTACGTTTTACGCTTCCATTTACTTACCCAGTAAGTCAGGCCTACCAGAGAAAAGTACATGAGTTCATGAACTTAGAGTACCCTGAGTTTTGCTCTAAGATTCATTATAGTGCTCAGTTCACTAGGTTCACCTACTGGGCCACTAAAAAGCATGATATAGAGCAGCAACTTCTCATTCTGTGTAGAAAAGGCCGGTGGTACTCATCATCTCTCCATGCTAATCGGCAATGGGGAGAAACTCACCCCCAACCTCCCTTCTCTAGCCCGTCTCTGTTTTGCTCTATTATCCTCAGTGCAAATTCCACAGGCATTCTGTCACCTGACTATTCCAGTATGTAGATTCCCAACCCCTCCTAGAATATGTCATGATAGAGTGATCCCACGTGAGACCAGAGGCTTATCCCTTCAGAATGCCCAGCACTGCTCTGATCCCCAACTCCGACTCTGTTAAGCTATTTCTTTTGTTTGTCCTCGTATCTTAATCAGCTTTTTCTTTTCTTGTGTGCTGGAGTCTCACTCTGCTGCCCAGGCTGGAGTGCAGTGACACGATCTTGGCTAACTGAAACCTCTGCTTCCCAGGTTCAAGCTACTCTCCTGCCTCAGCCTCCTCAGTAGCTTGGACTACAGGCATCTGCCACCACGCCTAGCTAATTTTGTGTATTTTTAGTAGAGACGGGGTTTCACCATACTGGCCAAGCTGGTCTCAAACTCCTGACCTTGTGATCCACCCACCTTGGCCTCCCAAAGTGCTGACATTACAGGCGTGAGCCACCACACCCAGCCCCTAATCAGGTTTTAAGTCCCCTATTATATGATGCTTTTGTATCCTCCTGAAATCTTAAAGTATAAATTATATGATCTGTAATTGTTACACCATCCAGTCCTCAAAAAACTGGATTTTTTTTAAACAGTAAAATCAGCTCCACTAGCATTTATGGAGTAGTTACTAATGCAGCAATACTATTCTGAGAGGGAGGAACACCTAGGTAGACATGAGAAGCCTTAGAGCTTACAGTGAGAAATAACGTGGCACAGTGGTGAGAATGTACACACAAATATAGTCTCTCTAAATACGGCGATGTAAAACTGCATTTTATTAAACTGCCATTTACACACCTCATTGTATTCTAATTGCTTCATAGGTAAAGATGCTTAAATGTTTTTCCTAATATCCCAAACTGGAAAGTGATGAACATATTTAATTCTCTCTTTTCATTTTACTTGATTTCTTAGACAATTCAGATACTGTGGGGGAACGTAGGGGAACAAGCTTGAAAACCAAAGTACTTAAGTCAACTTTATTGAGTGCTCACTATGTGCTAACTACTAGCGTGGCAGATTCTGGGGATAAAACTGAGCAAAAACCAGCAGTGATCTTGCACTGATGGAGTTTACAGTGCAATGGAACGAACCGGTAATAATCAGTCCAGTCAATGATGAATTATTACAGGAATAAGTGCTGCACAGAAGAGCCAGGGTGCTGAGTGCACAGCACAGAGGGCACAACGTGGACCTGGCCTATGAGCAGGGAATGGACCGGGCATCCGGGAGGGCTTCCATGATCAAGGACACACAGCTAGAGGAAAACCCTGAGGAGCACAGAGAGTACGCCAGGCAGAGAGAGGTAGGGGCAAATTCCTTGTGACTAGAGGGTGCAGGACAGTTCCAAGGAACTGAGAGGAAGTGGGAACCAAAGGGCAAAGGACAGCTTGATGGGAAATAAGGCAAAAGAAGCAGGGGGGGACCAGACCTTGCAGGACCTTGTGGGTTGTGTTAAGGATAGATCTTCACCCTCAAGACAATAAGCAGCCACAAAGGAGTTCTGCCTCTGTTGCTAATTACATTCTAAGATCACTCATGCAGAGCATCTGGCATAGTCCCAGATCCGTAGCAGTAGGCAGCAAATGCTGATTCCCTCCAAAAGTCATCCTACAACATTTACTGCTTTATCCAGAGAGTCTACCAATTAACAATCAAAATGAGTATCTCTTGTATTTTCACATCAGTATCCTTGTGAAATGAATTAGTATGTTGGAGTCTTAATGGAATGTCCATTATCTCTCAATATACAAATACAATCACCCTTTGATATCCAAAGGTTCTACCTCTGAAACCAAATGCAGATCAAAATGCAGAATTCAACAGATGTGACACCTGTGGATAGAGGGCTGATGTTTTGTATATATGGGTTCCAAAGAGACAACTGCAGGACTTGAGTCTGTGCAACTTTTGATATCTGTGGGGGTCTGAGAACCAATTCCCCACAGATACCAATGCACAACTAGATATACAAAAAGCAATTGTAGTTTTATTCCCTAGAAATGAACACTCTGGAAATGAGATTAAGAAAACAATTTCCTTTATACCAGCAGCAAAAAGAACGAAATACTAGTAGTAACTCCAAAAAATGAAGCACAAGATATAGTCTGAAAACAATAAGAGTATGGGAAGAAATTTAGGAGAACCTAAACAAATGGAAGTACACCACATGTTCTTTAACATGGGAAGGACATAGTATTATCAAGACGGCAATACTTAAAATTCATTGAAACCTTAATATAATCAAGATGGCAGTATTCCCTAAGTAGTTCTACAGATTCAATCCAATTTCTATCACAATTCAAGTTGCTTTTGTTCCCAGAAACCAATAAGCTGACTCTAAAATTCATACGGAAATAGAAAGGATTCAGAATGACCAAAGCCATTTTGTAAAAAGAAGAGCAAAGTAGAGTACTCCCACTTCTAGATTTCAAATTTTACTACAAATCAACAGTAATGAAGACTCTATGTACCGGCATGGAAGAGACATATAGGTCAATGGACCAGAACTGAGAATCCACATGTCAACTGATTTTTGACAAGGGTGCCAAGAAAATTTAATGGGAGAAAGAGTCTCTTTTATTTTTTTCATCAACAAAAATTTATTTCATTAAGCATGAAGTTACATTCACATTTGTCTACAAACACAGTAAGTAAGGAAACAAATTATCAGCTTTCTTGCCGTAGTACTGGATGTTCAGTGACAGGCTCACTTGAAGGCAGAGTCTACCCTGACGGGGACTCGAGATCAGTCACAACTACTTGGGAAAAGAACACAAAGACCACCAGCTTTCTTGCCGTGGTGCCGGAAGTTCAGTGGCAGGCTTACTTGATGGCAAAGTCAACCCTAATGGGGACTCGAAAACAGTCATAAGTTCCTGTGAGAAGAACACAAAGACCATGAGCTTTCTTGTGGTGGTGCTGGATATCCGGTGGCAGGCTCTTTACATAAACTCTAAAACATTTTATTTCTTAAAAAAAAAAGATCAGAAGCAAATAAGCAAAAATATTAATTTGTTAATTATTAGAGACAGACAGATGGATGTTATGTTCCCCTGTACTTTTCAAGGCATTTAAATTTTCAGTGTGTTTCAAATATAGGTTAGCAGCTCCTTTTTAGCTTAATATTAGACAAGGGCCTGGAATTTTCTATGGAAGCTTCCCCATTTAAATTATGTGTCATTAGCTGTGGGAGATTGGGATTGTGGTCCTGGTTTTTCACCTTCTCTGCGTCCACACCTTTTCCACGTCTCATGGGGCAAAGGGAACTTTCCTCACCCTTGATTTTGGGTTTAGCTCTGTGGCTTTGACCACTACGATGAGGAAGAAATGGCAGTGGGTGGGGAAAGCCTGGGTCCTCTGGGACCTTAGTCTTTGAGCACTCCTTCCTGTGTTCTGCATCACTGTGAGGCAGATGATCCTGCTGCCCTAGGAAGGGGATGGACACCATGTGGAGCACGATTGCCCTCGCAGAACAAAGCCTAGCACACCCTATGAATGTGCGGGAGTCACTGGCTGTCATTGGAAGCCACTGAGTTTTGGGATGTATGTTACATAACAATAACTAAAGGATGCCAGTGAGATTATGGACCCAATTGTTTTTGCTTCACATGCAGCCTTTCAAGGATGCATCTAATGTATACAATGCAGAATGCCACCATTGAATACACCATGGATCTGAGTCAGTGCACTAAAAGAATAGATAAGTGGAATGAAACAGGTGATTCAGAAATAGACACAAATATATATTTGTGTGCACGTAGTACACAATAGAAGCACTACTTTAAATGATTAGAGAAAATATATGTCATTGTATTAACAGTATTGAGACAACATCTGGCAAGAAATAAAAGTTCAATCTAGGCCCGGTGGCTCATGCCTGTAATTCTAGCGCTTTGTGAAGCCAATGCAGGGGGATTGCTTGAGGCCAGGAGTTCAAGGCCAGCCTGGGCAGTATAGCAAAATCCCATCTCTACGAAAAAATTTTAAAAATTAGCCAAGCATGGCACATGTGTCTGTCCTCCCACCTACTTGGGAGGCTGAGGTGAAGAAATATTTGAACCCAGGAGTCTGAAGTTACAGTGAGCTATGATCATGCTACTGCACTCCACCCTAAATAAGAAAGGCCCTGTTTCAAAATAAATAAATAGAAGTTTAATCCATATCGAATTCAACAAAACATTTGTATGCAAAAGGAGAGAAGGAGGAAAAATAGAAAAGAAAAAAGCTGAAACCATAGAAATACCAGGAGAAATTGTGAATGGTTTTAAATGGTCATGGGTTAGATTTTTCAAAGAATGTTAAAAAACCCAGAAGCAATGAAGGAAATATTTGACAAGTGCATTGTAAGAATAAAAAACCTTCTACAAAGCAAACAGTATGCTGATCAGAGTCAAAAGACAATAATCTGGGAAAAATATCTATAACACATATGACATGACAGATAAGGAACTCATCACTTTAATATATAAAGAACTCTTTAAAAAATAAAAGGTGTAAACAAACTGATAGAAAACATGGGCAAAAGATAGCAACAGACTTTCACAAAAGAAAAATACAGATTACCAATGTATATTTGCAAATACGGTCCACTTCACTTGAAATTAACAATTGTAAGCCAGAATGAGGTTCAGTTTTTCACCTATCGAATTGGCAAAGGGTATGTAGAAACACATTTACTGAAAAGTGTTAAGCTGGTTTAACCTCTTTAGAGCACAATTTTGCAACACCCCTCAAACTTTTAAATGCACAAAACCTTTGCTCCAGCAATGTTATTGCTTTCCTCCCCTTTTCCCTGCCTTCTGCATTAGCTGTTTCCTTCATCTTTCTCTGCAAGGCCAGTAACATCCTCTAAACTGCAGAAAAGATGCCGGGAGACTGTTTTGAAACCCATAATGGGCTAGGATCTGAGCAAGAGTCATCAATGCTGAAAAGCTAATGAGAAACTTTGTAATGGATGGATTGGGCTAATGATACCTAATCAATCTTAATATTATGAAGAGAGAGAAGGAGAGAGTACATCAGACATCTTACACCCCCTGTTGGAAATGGACAACATAATCTATAACGTATTCTTGTCAAAAAATCAGGCTCAGGTCTTATAAGGCCATTAGCTCTAACTACCAGTTTACAGGAATGATGCAGCATAGGGACACATGTCAAAGGTACCGCAGGAATGCAGTCAGCTAAATGAAGGCTGTAGGAAGTTCTAGTGGAGAAAGAACCTGGTTTCTTCAACAGATAAATTCTGAGGAAAGGGAAAGAGAGAGAGGGGCAATCTGTGGATTAAAGGAGATTTACAAGATTTATCAACAAAATGCCACATATGGACTTAACTTGGAGTCTGAATCAAATGACGAAATCACAGACAGAGAGAAACAGAGAATAGGGACAATTTTAACATTAGCAATCATATTAGAAATTATTCTATGTAATTTTAAGCATAATACATTAGGTTTCTGTAAAAAGTTCCTATCGTTTAGAAATGCATACTGAAACGTTTGTGGATATGAAATCATAGGATGTTTAAGCTTTACTTCAAAATAATTTAGAAGTTTGGAGAGTAAGTAGCAGATAGATTAAACACAATTGGCTATTAAATGCTAATTACTGAACTGGGTAATGAGTACATAGAAGTTTACTATACTATCCTCTCTAGTTTGTTTATATTTGAAAATTTTCCCGTAGTAACAAGTTAGACAAAGACATTCGTTGGACAGTTAATTTGTTGGCAATATCTTTTGAATATAAAAAAGTTCCCTCACTGCAAGGAAAAACTGATTTTTCTGTAACTTTGGTAATATTTAGCCACCCATATTTTAAACCGTTCAATCAATCGATTGATTAATTTCCTATCCAAAATTCTTTTTAAAAAACAGACCATAATACCAGCACTTTGGGAGGCCGAGGCGGGAAGATCACCTGAGGTTTGGAGTTTGAGACCAGCCATTAACCAACGTGGAGAAACCCCGTCTGTACTAAAAGTACAAAATTAGTCTGGTGTGGTGGTGCATGCTTGTAATCCCAGCTACTCGGGAGGCTGAGGCAGAAGAATCGCTTGAACCCGGAAGGCAGAGATTTTGGTGAGCCGAGATCATGCTATTGCACTCTAGCCTGGGCAGTAAGAGCGAAACTCCATCTTAGGAAAAAAAAAAAAAAAAGACCTATGAGTCTGGGTGCGATGGCTTACGCCTGTAATCCCAGAACTTTGTGAGTCCAAGGGAGGCAGATCACCTCAGATTGGCAGTTTGAGACCAGCCCGACCAACATAGAGAAATCCATCTCTGCTAAATATAGAAAATTAGCTTGATGTGGTGAATTCCTATAATCCCACCTACTTGGGAGGCTGAGGCAGAAGAATCGCTTGAACCCGGAAGGCGGAGATTTCGGTAAGCCGAGATCATGCTATTGCACTCTAGCCTGGGCAATAAGAGCGAAACTCCATCTTAGAAAAAAAAAAAAAAAAGACCTATGAGGCTGGGTGCGATGGCTTACACCTGTAATCCCAGCACTTTGTGAGTCCAAGGCAGGCAGATCACCTCAGGTTGGCAGTTTGAGACCAGCCCGACCAACATAGAGTAACCCGTCTCTGCTAAATATAGAAAATTAGCTGGATGTGGTGAATTCCTGTAATCCCACCTACTTGGGAGGCTGAGGCAGGAGAATTGCTTGAACCCAGGATGTGGAGGTTGCAGTGAGTCAAGATCATGCCATTGCACTCTAGCCTGGGCAACAAGAGCAAACTCCATCTCAAAAAAAAAAAAAAAATTAGACAGGCATGGTGGTGCACACCTGTAATCCCAGCTATTCAGCAATTTCATGGATTGGAATGATTCTTCTCAACTAAATGGTAAGCAGACACACACACACAGTATGTGTGTATGGAATAACTGTTCAAGAACATACACGCGCGCGCGCGCGCACACACACACACACACACACACACAGCATTTGTGTATGAAGCTCTTCAAGAACAAGGAGGAAACCGTTATAGGGCATGGAAGGGGAATTAGGGAAAGATGTGAATGGAAAGAGAAACATCCCATCGCACATGCTTAAAAAATCCGTTTAATTTAAAAATAGGTAATAGAACCATACAAAGAAAACATTAAAATAAAAAATTTTCACAGAAAATTTTCGATCCCAATCCATTCCCTACTCACAGTTCTATATGTTACTTTTATTTTCCTTTGTTTGGAAATATAAATGCACTGTCATCCTACTTTCTCGCGAAGACTGCAATCTCTCTACATTCTTCCGCATTTGTTATTTTTGTGCATACGCTTTCGTCGTGAAATTTTTCCCCTATATGCTGTTGTATGTGAAATAAATAAATATACAGAAGCTAAACAGCTCCGCTTGGTCGCACCACCTCCAAGCCCGTCCCCGCCCTCCCTCAGGCTCACGTGCTCCGAGGGTCCCCTTCGCAGGTGGTTTCTGAGGATACCTATCCGAAGGCCTCAGACTGAAGTCCCACCCACTCTCCCTCTCCTCTGCCCTCTGGACGCCCGCTTCAATTCCGAACGCAGCGGACGGCGCCTCAGGCAGTGCGGCGGGCAGCCAGTCCTCCCGCGCGCCGCGAGCCTTGGAGGACCCCAGCGACGGCCGTGGCGTAAGACCGGGGGTACGCGGCGACAGCGGCGGCTGCTGCGATTGATTGCGCTGGTTGTAGACGGAGTCCACTTCCCTGGCCGCCCTTGCCACACTGGCTGATTGTTGTGCAGCCAGCGCCATGTCTGTGAGCGAGATCTTCGTGGAGCTGCAAGGCTTTTTGGCTGCCGAGCAGGACATCCGAGAGGCGAGCCCCCTCCCTTTCCCATTCCCTTTCCCTCTCCATGCCTAGCTGGGCCACAACTCCCGGCCCTCCTCCGTGTTTGAGTCTGGGGCGGTGGGGACGCCTCCGAGGGTGGGTTGCTTCCCCTCTAACTTTAGGTTAGGGCATTCCTCGCCCAAATTCTAACACTCTGTCCTGATTCTCCTTGTTCCGGTCTCAGCTTCTCAGCAACACCTGCCTCGTTTGTGTCAGTTTTCCTTCTTTTCAGCGCTTGCTTATATCGAAGGCTCGAATTGCACCTGGTCTTCAGCGAATAGGCGTTTCGTGTATTTGTTGTTGGTGTCTTAAAAGCACCTGTGATCTCCTGTTTAAAACTGTCCTATGATTTCCTATCCCACATAGGATAAAAAAAATCAGACTCTACTGTGGCCCACATGGTCTCTCTTCAATCTCATTTTACGCTTTCTCTCTTTGTGGATGATGTTCACTTTAGCTCTTCATTTCTAGTGCCCCAGTTAGCTTTCTGCCTGTTTGCCTTTGCTGGAATTTGCGTCTTTCCCGTTCTTTTCCTGGTTGTCTTATATTTATCTCCTTAACCTCACAACCTAAAGGATCTATTTCTCATGTTTTCTAGTAGCACATTAACTTTTTTAAAATGTGTGTAATGTTGACTATTTAAAAAAATATCTTCTCCCCCATTGTATGTTAAACCGCCAGAGGGAAGGGATTGTATGCTTGGTTCCCCAAGTATTTACACAGTGCCATGCACCTAAGTGTGCTTAATGAATATTTAAAAAATGAATTAAAGGTCTGGTGCGGTGCCTCATGGCTGTAATCCCAGCACTTTGGGAGGCTGAGGCGGGCGATCACCTGAGGTCAGGAGTTCGAGACCAGTCTGGGCAACATGGTGAAACCCTGTGTCTTCTAAAAATTGAAAAGAAATTTAACGGCGTGGTGGCGCACACCTGTAATCCCAGCTACTGCGGAAGCTGAGGTAGGAGAATCGCTTGAACCCAGGAGGCGGAGGTTGCGGTGATCTTACTTCGCTCCACTGGACTCCAGCCTGGGCAACAGAGCAAGACTCCGTCTCAAAAAAAAAAAAAAAAAAAAAGTTAGAAATACCCAAGTCTTGTATTGTATTTAATTCTTCCTTTTAGAAATTATGTTCACACACATCATCCGTTTTATAATGTCCCAATTGGATACTTGGGGTGAATGGGTGGCTGTTATCCTTTAAAGGCTACCTGAGGAATCTAAGGCTTTTTAGTGACTTTTTGAAGTCTTACATAGGAAATAAGTGGAAAAGTCAGGACTCCACCTTGGTTATGATAGATCACATATACTATCTAATGTGTTTGATGTCAGCGTATGACAATAATTGTGTTGCATATCTGATTTTTATTTTTACTTCTCTCTAGGAAATCCGAAAAGTTGTACAGAGTTTAGAACAAACAGCTCGAGAGATTTTAACTCTACTGCAAGGGGTCCATCAGGGTGCTGGGTTTCAGGACAGTAAGTTCTTGGTTTTGTATCCAAGTATCTCTTATTTCGAGAGTTAGTTTCTATCTAGAAGACATTTTATAATGAAAAATGTCCATCATGCTTTATGGTGAATCCAAATTGAAGAAGTAGGTGATTTAGTAATTTTGATTTTTCCCCTTCCACATAGTATGGTTTAGATAGGAATGTTTTCTCTATTGTGATAGCATTACAATCGCTTAACCCATTTCCTGTTTAGAAAAAACAGTGCAGCTCTCTGCCAGCACAGGAAAAGGGTTTATAACTCCTTTGTGTTACCTAGCGACTTTTACTTGGCCCTTTTGTATGTGTGTGTGTGTGTGTGTGTGTGTGTCCAGCCTTTAAGTGATTGAATACCTTTTTATCCCCAACTTCCTGTTGATTTGCATTGAATGCCTTTTAAAATGAGATTAACAGTGTAAAGTGTTCTCAAATAAATGTGTTTGCAGTAAGTCTTGTGAATGAAAGTCAAGTATGCCAAACTTAGAGATGGAACCTTCATTGTAACTCATAGCCAGCGCAGCTAAAAGTGCTGAAGTATATTTTCAGATACAAGAATGATATAACAATGCATTGACACATACCTGAGGCAAGTAATTTTTCTTAATGATATAGAGTTGGGTCATCTTGATTGTGAGTAGTTGGTGAAGGCTTTTTTCTGCCACATACGGGAAGAAGGAACAATCTGATGTTAAGCATTCTCTCAGGAGTGAACAGGAATAGCGGCTGATATGCAGCCCCTGAAGGATGACATCATTTATGACAACTTAGCCAATTACCAATGTGTCTCCTAATATATTCCCTCTTAGCAAGTTGTTTATTTTTGAGTAGAGCTAATTAGTAGGGAAACTAGGGATGATATTTTGAGAGCCAGGTTGAAAAACAGAGATGTGTACATTAGTTGTGAGGTTAAAAAAAAAAGTTGATTCATTTCCAGATAGATTACTTAGATTATTAAGCGAGAAGTGTATTTGAAATTTGATAAGTTTTTCATAATTACATTTCGTTATCTTTTGTGATTAGTTCCAAAGAGATGTTTGAAAGCTCGAGAACATTTTGGTACAGTAAAAACACATCTAACATCTTTGAAGACCAAGTTTCCAGCTGAACAGTATTACAGGTTTGTGAGAAAAATAGCATTTTATAATGTTAAGTAAAAAAAGGAGAAAAATTATATGTACCACATGATTGCTTACAACTAGGTAAACATCCTGATGTGTAGGAGTAACGGAAAGAGAAGAACCAAACTAATGATGGTCATGGCAAACATTCGTGATTGTTTCTTCTTCTTTTTTTTTTTTTTTTAAATTTTTTATTGCATTTTAGGTTTTGGGGTACATGTGCAGAACATGCAAGACAGTTGCATAGGTACACACATGGCAGTGTGTTTTGCTTCCTTTCTCCCCTTCACCCACATTTGGCATTTCTCCCCAGGCTATCCCTCCCCAGCTCCCCGCCCTGCTGACCCTCCCCTTTTCCCCCCAGTAGACCCCAGTGTTTAGTACTCCCCTCCCTGTGTCCATGTGTTCTCATTTTTCATCACCCGCCTATGAGTGAGAATATGCGGTATTTCATTTTCTGTTCTTGTGTCAGTTTGCTGAGAATGATGTTCTCCAGATTCATCCATGTCCCTACAAACGACATGAACTCATCATTTCTGATTGCTGCATAATATTTCATGGTGTATATGTGCCACATTTTCCCAATCCAGTCTGTCATCAATGGGCATTTGGGTTGGTTCCAGGTCTTTGCTACTGTAAACAGTGCTGCAATGAACATTTGTGTGCATGTGTCCTTATAGTAGAACGATTTATAGTCCTTTGGATATATACCCAGTAATGGGATTGCTGGGTCAAATGGAATTTCTATTTCTAAGGCCTTGAGGAATCGCCACACTGTCTTCCACAATGGTTGAACTAATTTACACTCCCACCAACAGTGTAAAAGTGTTCCTATTTCTCCACATCCTCTCCAGCATCTGTTGTCTCCAGATTTTTTAATGATCGCCATTCTAACTGGCATGAGATGGTATCTCAATGTGGTTTTGATTTGCATCTCTCTGATGACCAGTGACGATGAGCATTTTTTGATATGACTGTTGGCCTCATACATGTCTTCTTTTGTAAAGTGTCTGTTCATATCCTTTGCCCAATTTTGAATGGGCTTGTTTGTTTTTTTCCTGTAAATCTGTTTGAGTTCTTTGTAAATTCTGGATATCAGCCCTTTGTCAGATGGGTAAACTGCAAAAATTTTTTCCCATTCTATTGGTTGCCGATTCACTCTAGTGATTGTTTCTTTTGCCGTGCAGAAGCTGTGGAGTTTGATTAGGTCCCATTTGTCTATTTTGGCTTTTGTTGCCAATGCTTTTGGTGTTTTGTTCATGAAGTCCTTGCCTACTCCTATGTCCTGGATGGTTTTGCCTAGATTTTCTTCTAGGGTTTTTATGGTGCCAGGTCTTATGTTTAAGTCTTTAATCCATCTGGGGTTAATTTTAGTGTTAGGTGTCGGGAAGGGGTCCAGTTTCTGCTTTCTGCACATGGCTAGCCAGTTTTCCCAACACCATATATTAAACAGGGAATCCTTTCCCTATTGCTTGTTTTTGTCAGGTTTATCAAAGATTGTATGGTTGTAGATATGTTGTGTTGCCTCCGGTGCCTCTGTTTTGTTCCATTGGTCTATATCTCTGTTTTGGTACCAGTACCATGCTGTTTTGATTACTGTAGCCTTGTAGTATAGTTTGAAATCTGGTAGTGTGATGCCCCCCGCTGTGTTCTTTTTGCTTAGAATTGACTTGGCTATGTGGGCTCTCTTTTGGTTCCATATGAAGTTCATGGTGTTTTTTTCCAGTTCTGTGAAGAAAGTCAATGGTAGCTTGATGGGGATAGCGTTGATTCTGTAAATTACTTTGGGCAGTATAGCCATTTTCACAATATTAATTCTTCCTAACCACGAACATGGAATGTTTCTCCATCTGTTTGTGTCCTCCCTTATTTCGTTGAGCAGTGGTTTGTAGTTTTCCTTGAAGAGGTCCCTTACGTTCCTTGTGAGTTGTATTCCTAGGTATTTTGTTCTTTTTGTAGCAATTGTGAATGGCAGTTCGTTCTTGATTTGGCTCTCTTTAAGTCTGTTACTGGTGTAGAGGAAGGCTTGTGATTTTTGCACATTGATTTTATATCCTGAGACTTTGCTGAAGTTGTTTATCAGTTTCAGGAGTTTTTGGGCTGACGCGATGG